GGAGGGGGAAACTGCACCCAGACCCAGGTAGTGTTACCCTTTTCCCTGGGGTGGAGAGAAGCAGACCGCCCCGACTCGGCAGCAGCAGGGAGGCCCCACATTCCAGACCCCAATCGGATGGCCAACTTCTCCTTCCAGCCCCCCTGCTCCAGCAGGCCGCAGAGAACGGGGGGGTGTGAAGACTCCAAACTTGTGAGTTTTCTTAAGTTGTGTTCTTACACAATGGCAGCATTTGTTATTTTTCCATAACTAATAATTATGCTTATAATGGATGCTGTTTAGCTACAGTTTCATGATTTACATTTATACTGTTCAAAGGCTATAAGCAAATTAATAAACTTCATTTTATATCCTGACATGAACTTAAATGGTAAATTTACTGTGTTTAAAGAAAATTTACCAGGGTTTCTTCCTCTCTTGACTTTGAGATACTATTTAGGAATTGTTAAAATATATCATATCAACTGATATAACACCATCCTGAGAGTCTGGAACCAGCTAATCAGGTATAGCCTGAAGCTTATCCCAGCTATTATAGGGTGAGAGACAGACAACCATTCACACCTATGGGCATTTTGGAATCACCAATTAACATATCCCCACTAAGTGCACTGTGGACTGTGGGAAGAAGCTAGAGTACGTGAAGTCAACCTGGGCAGACACTGGAAGAACATGCAAATTCCACATAGAAAGGCTCCGGACAAGTAGTGCAGTCAAACTCAGGACCTTGCTGTGAGCTAAAAGTGCTAACCACTGCACCACTGTGTTGCCATTTCCTTAAATCTACATTCATTTTTATGCCCAGCAGAAGGCAATGACTGCAAAAAGAAGCCGCTGGATGACAAAATGACCTAAAGACCTTAGCAGAAACATCTGGTTAGTTTATATTTTTAGTCACTAGTTTTAAATCTTATTGAATGCAAAATGGTGTTTATTATGTCAATTCTGATTTCTTTTAGAATCTAAAGAAGGATTCTTCTGACTGAAAAGTAACTACTGACTGAGTGTTCAGTGTTTCTCAGCCAGATTCACCCAAGACAGCAAAAACATTCAACACAAGGTTTTCAGAGTGGATCTACAAACAACTGAATGGTATTTTAGATTTTTTTTTATATACAGAGTATGTTCACAGAGTTCCTGATAGTAGTTTTAAAGAAAGTAGGTGTCTTGGTTGCATAAGGAGATTTATTTATTTTGCATGTTGATTTCAAAAGCTGTCTTTAAAGAAAGAAAAATCAGAGTGGGATTATTATTAATAATTCACACAGACATTAGGACAGTTAGACTCCCACCACTTGTTTTATATCATCCTCCTTCAGCATTATTGTTTTGGCAATAAGCAATAAGGCAAGGCCACATGAGGTCGTTTTATGACAATGCTTCACTGTAAAAGCCACGTAAAATGTAAAAGCCAGAGAATACACAATAGTATACATCAAATCAACAGCCGTATTAAACTATTTTATTATATTTTATAAATCTTACATAATAGAGTAACACAGCATGAATCTAAAAGCACTGTGTCTCACTTTCTGAGGGATTACTGAAAGATTCATTGGAGTAGGACAATGAAGACTAAGAGGATATAAACAACACCATTATGAATAAATCAACTATTCTTATGTCAGTGTTTGCTTATCAACATGAAGATTGTTTTATTTAGTCTATATCCTTTTGTATAATCTGCGAGTTTGTATTCAAGTCCCTTCAGAGAGGAGGGAATGACTTGGATGTAGCACATTTATCACAGTCCTCTGTGTTCTCTGTATATTTTCTCTACTGGGAATTTATGCTTCACAGACTGTATAAGTCATTCATTGTATTGTCTAACACATTAGAGCATTCACTGATAACTCATAATCTAAGCAAAACAAACAAAGGGGAGATTATGCTTCCATCTGTGTCTTTGAATCATAACCAGTTTCCACTTGATTGCACAGGAAGTGCAGCCTGATGGGAGACAGATTGTGAGGCGAGATGCTCCTCTGGTGGAGAACAGATGTTACTGCAGGCATGACTTCATGTAGTCTGTCCTTGATAGCAAGTGAGAGGACAGAGAGCTACTAATCCACCAATCAGATTACTGCAGCTCGTTAAAGAGAACATTTCCTTTAGTAGTAGTAAGTGTAAAGAAAATAATTATTACACAGACATATGCAGTGGCCCTTTGTACTGTTTAAACATAACTTTAATTTGGATATTTTACATCAGTTATTTTCTATATCTACTAAAAAAATAACAAAAACAGTATTGTAGATTTTGTGTTACTGCCCAAAATGTTATAAAACGGTAAAAAAATGTACATCCTATAACAATGTTTGAGAATAATTGATCTTAGTAATATAGCAATATATTATAATACAGTAATTCAATTGTATAGATATTCTATTTTATACTGTGCTGTAAAATCAAACGTCTTTAATGTATATTCCCCACTCACCCTGTAACCATTCGTTTACGCTTTTTGCCAATTTTCAAACAAACAAGTCATTAGGTTAACCTTGAAGACCTTCATGGATGTAAGATGAATATTAATGGATTGTTAACATGACCCCACGTTACACCCCTTCAAAGTCTTATCAGAAAATTGTAAAAATCTTAAAATGTTTCAATCATGAAAAAAAAAACATACATGGAATTGCACTCAACAGCCATTTCATTAGTTAAGTCCTGATTAAACCCTTTTTTGGTCTCAGTTCTTTGTGGCATAAAATCACCAAGGGACCGGAGACATTCTGCAGAGATTTTAGAATAATACAGTTCCTGCTGATTTGCTGGCTGCACATTCATGAGTTTCCACCACATTCTAAGGTTGCTCTGTTATATTGAGATCTGGTGAGGCCATTTGAGTACAGTGAGCTCATTATCATGTTGAAGAAAACAGCTTTGCAATATCCTGCTATAAACACCCATCACTGTGGTAATGATGATCGGATGTGCATTGTCAACAACAATACTTGGGAAAGCTATGGTGTTTAAACAATGCTCAGTTGATACTAAGGATATAATATAATATAATATAATATAATATAATATCATATAATATAATAAAGAAAACATTTCAACCTCAATTTTGTGTTCTAAGCTGTCAGTCACTCTGCTGCTGTGGCTCATCTAATTCAAGGTTCGATGTATTGTGCATTCAGAAATGCTCTTCCATATACTTTGATTGCAGTGAGTGGTTATTACTTATTATTTTAATTTACAAGGCATTTCTCCCGCTCGCTGAACTCAAAGCAAAATCAGTTTTCTTGGGTATATACTGACATATATACATATACATTACATACATATACAGTATGTAACTTTTATAGCATCTCTACTTACATTTTAGCAATTTTATGCTGTGCTGTATAAGTCAAGCCTGTTTACTGTGTATAGCATTGCAAAGCAACACTGAAGATAACAAAGCCTAAATAAGAAAACATATTTAAAAAAGATAGATTTCTGAAAGAGGTCACAGTTTCACTTGAGGTTGGTTTTAAGAAAATCGTGACATTATTTTAACCAGATTCATGAGGTCATTACCTGGATTACTTTCCCTTGCTGCACTTTGCTCATGTTTGTTTCAGTCCAGTTAGATTGTGGAGGCTGGATGAAGCACACAAATACGACAAGGACAATATTTTCTTAAAACATCATTAAAAGACCATTTCTACAGGATGCTTAGATGCTAAATGTAAATGAAATGACAGTGTTGCAATGAAAGAAAGAAAAAACCTTCTGACTCATGGATAGCAATTAGATTAAAAAGAAATAACTGTAAAAATAAATGTCTTTACATTTTTTTTCTTGTGGTTCCCATCTGTGCTTTTTCCCCTCAACATTAAAATAGGCTGTTTGTTTCCTGATGAGATATGATTACAAAAGTATACAAAAAGTATTCTTTCCCTATTCTCTTTTCTTTTATCCTTACATCAAAGCTTTACTTAATTATCAGTTAAGAAAACAGAAGATTTTTTTCAGTAAAGGTATAGGTTCCATTTCTAGCCAGGATTATGGAAAAAGAGAGAAACTTGTAGGGGAAAATAGGACATTTTTAATAGCTAATTTGGCATTTTTTGTTTTCTAAAGCGTAAACATACATAGAAGAAAAACTAAATATACATTGTAGTTACAATGTAACTACAATGTATATTTAGTATATAGTTACTGGGGAAGAAATATGTAGCATTCGATTTATCTTTTTCTCATTATTTTGAGAACTTGATTTAAAATTCTTTAATAATAAAAATATGAAACTGGAATCTTGAAATCTCCTGATAATTAGACAGTAATTCATAACTATAAGAAAAGATTTGTAACTTATGTATCTTTTCTGAATACAGTGAGGATTAATATAATAGATGCCGAGAGTGTAAGATGCTGTAACGTTAGGTCCAACCATTTCTCTTATTCTTAGTTGTATTCCCATTAAGTTCACCAGGTCGCAACTTCTACTTTTCCATTAATTACAGGACATTAATTTCAAATTACACATATACATCATTTTCCACCTAGAGATAAAATGCTGGTATCACCACTGTGAGCATAATAGCATAATGATGCTAGCAAGAAATACAGTATCCTAAGTCATTTTCAGGGATCATGAAACACCTGAATGCAGCATTATGACAGTTGTTATTGATAGTACATGCAAAGTTGGGATGGAATTATTTTTATTACAAAACAATAAAAAATAAAAGACAGAATACTAATACTACAGTTTAAAAAAAACATGAACATACTTTTTATTTATGAATTTTGATGCCGAAATGAACTTAAGGTAAATTTGTGAATACTTTGTGATTAAATACCAAAAACTTAGTCATTAGTGGGAAGACAATCTATAAAAAAAGAGGAAGACTAAATTGTGATGTAAACATGAAGCTCAGGAGCATGTTTTTTTTTTTCAGATACAGTGCAGACATGAAAAACACCAATGAAAGAATTACAACTAATAAAGCCTGAAATACATATAATTATAAACACTGTGGAGGTGTGTTACAGCAGAAGAGTGGATAGAATTAGCTCTTCCTCTCTTCCAAGTGGAATAAACAGCATCGACTTAAATCCTCAGTAAGGCCTGCTAATCCATAATCCTCCTGGCTCTGCATTGGCCCCTTTAGTCCTTGTGCAAGGCACGTCCAACAACACACAGGTCTGGGTGTGATGCAGAGCGTGTTGTCGTTCTGAGGTCTGATTGGCTACCCCATGAGTCATCATCTCTGGTTGGTTCATAGTTTAGCCTAAAAGAAAGAACAGAAAATGTTGTCATTAGCAATTAGGTAACTGGGCCAAGTGAGTCCGAGTCACTTGGTGCAATACTGACTCGTGAAGTACGAGAGATTAATTGTTTTATATAAATCTAACGTAATACAGTTATAACAGCAGGGGAAAGTTAGTGGGAGTAGCATTAAGTACAGAGAGTTATTTGTTACATAATGTATCGTGAGAATGAGCTTCTGTTTGAGAGACGCTTACAATGTAAGCATTTTTTATATTTAATATAATTACTCTTTAAGTGATAATGTGGCCTAAGAGTGGCATCACTTCATATCAGAAAATCTTTATGAACTGAAAAATAAGCCTACCAAAAAAGACAAAAACTCTGTTTGTCATTATATATATTGCTGCTTAATTTTCTTTGTAGCAGTTTCTATCTGAATCACCAAAATCTGCAAAGCTTGTGAATTTTTGGTCATGTCTAATTTTTCCTGACGGTTACAGAATTAGACAGACTAACCATCATTTAACTTGAATAAAAAGCTGTCCCTTTACATGCATTAGGTAAAAGCCAGGATTTAGAAAAGTGCATGTCCTCCAAAAACATTCAAAATAGGGAACATTGTTTCAATGTGTGGGACAGAAGGACAAAGAAAATAAATCCTGTGCAGTTCCTTTTAAAAAAGGAAATCGTGTCACCCTGCTGTTATTATATTGTGATATTCAAAAATCTTTTAATTGCTTAAAAAACAAACAAACAAACAAAACAAAGTCATGAATAATCATTTAAGATAAGTACAAATGTGGTAAAATCTCACCCCTGTGAATATATCGCTGGTTCACTCCCACAAGTCTCAGCCACTGAGATGCGTTGTGATTGTTGTGGCAGACTTAGACTCTGCCTCCGGTCTGAATGGCTACGTCTGATAAAGGGTCGTGGCCCATGGACAGATGCAGGAGTCCTCCCACGTGTCTCAAAAGTATGTAAGAGGAATGAAACTTTGGTTGAGGTCCATGCTTGCGGGGGCTTGCTTACTGAACAAGGCTGGGCTTCAAACATGGACGGAGAAACGGGACAGAAGACTGAACGTGCATTACTAATTGTCCTGGCACTTGATGAGTCTTCACTGCTATTTTCCCTTGACCATCTTTGTACTTTTGGCGAAGCTGGGGGAGATGGTGCTTTGAAAGGGTATGAAGCGACTGAGTTTGAGCTCGAAATGTTCTGCTTTGAAACAGGTGGGCTGGGGAGTCTCCTCTGAAGAGCAGGTGGTGTAGGAAGTGTTCTGTTAAGAGACGGGCTAGATGAAGAGGGTGGAGTAGGCTGATTTTTGAAATTGTGGGGACTGGGAAGTCTTCGATGTAAGCTGCTTGGAGTAGAAGGTGTGAAAGGCAACATTCGCCCTCTAGACACAGGTGGGGTGGCAGGTGTTTGGCTAGTCTCTACTGAAGCAGGCACAGAAGATGCTGTGGTGTTGGATCCAGGCACTGAAATGTTACCACCATCTTGTATGTCTCTCAATTCTGTTTGAGTGGCACATGGTCCTACATAACTTGTTGACAATTTCTCTGACTGAAAGTCTGAAGAGGGTTTTAGTTGTATGTTCTTTCTGAGTTGCTGATATAAGGAATCCTTTTTGATTTCCGAATCTGGTTGATTGACCTTAGACAGAGGAAATGTCTCTTGTTGTTCCACTCTAACAGGGGAAATGTGTTTGGAGGTTTGTGGCAAGCCTCCTTTGCTTGGCAGTACCGTCACTGACTGAACTGAGGCCTTCAATCGTTGTGATATTACACCCCTTTTCAACAAAGGTGATCTTCCTACTTTTGTTGCACCATCTGCTGCTACACTAGTTGATGTACTCTGAGCGCTTTCAAAGGAATTGTCCAATAATACTTCCATTGCTGGTGGAGGAAGATTATCCAGGTCTAAATCTGTTTTCTCACATGTTGTAGATTCAGACCTACAGCTAGTTATCCCAGCAGTCAGCACGGCTTCTACATTTCCTAAACCGGGTAACACTGGAACACCACATTTTCGCACTCCTTTGAGAGGCCCCAGGACTTTAGGACCTTCTAGTTCCTCTATTCCTTGACTGAATGTATCAATCAGTTTTTTGACTGAATTCCTACCTCTGTGAAGGCCAGAAGATGGTTGAGGTGATAAAGGGGGGCTAGGAGGTGGAGTGGCTTTTATAAGACCCTTGGGTATATTCTTGTCTTTTTGTTTATCATCATCAACTTCACTGGTTGCCTCCTGTTTTTTACTATTGGACTTTGTAGGACTTGCCTTGTCTTTAGGTGGTTGGGGGTAGTTTTTCTTTTCTAATGAGGGCTGTCTCTGATTTATTGCTGGAGATTGTGCTGGTGAGTTTCCTTGGTTTCGTTTTAAAGGATCAGTCCTTGTTTTTCTTTCTTCTTTGCTTTTATTTATGCTCTGCAATCTCCGGTTTAAATCTTTCTGGGTCCTTTCTAGTTCAAGAAGAGTAGGATCTTCCCCTTTGCTCCGAAGGGATTCTGCTGACCGGGAACGCTGACCCCTGTTCACTGGGGTCTTTTTCACTTTTCGTACAGCTGCTGCTGTTTGAGGCCTCCTTGGAGATTGTACCTCATCATCTGTCCAATCCTGTGTGCTAGTTTTTGTCCTCGCTGATGCCTTTGTTTTAGAACTAGGATTTTGTGACGATACAAACTGTATCCTACCACTTATTGCATTTTTCATTTTCATAGTCATTTCTACATTTTGAGGATTTTCTATCCTCTTTGGGGATAAACGTCGAGGTTCTTGTAGCTTACAGTCTACAGGAGAACAATTAAATTGCTTTTGAGCTGCTTCTTGGATATGTCCTATATCTCTGTCCACCTCATCATTATCATTGACATCCTCTTCCCCGTACTCTGTGGAGACAGATCCTAGCAATGAGTCTCTTTGGTCATTAGCCATTATGGTACATGTCGAACCTAGTGAGTTGAGTGAGGTAAGGGACACACTAGGACTTATTTGACCCCGAAGCATTCTCCTTGACACTCTTCGCATAGGACTGACAGGAGTAGCTCTATTTGTCCCGGTAGACTCACAGCTCTCTCGTCTTTGGCGTCTCTCAGATCCAGCAAGGGATTCATTCTCAGCCCCAATTCCACTGTCCTCACTAAAGAGAGCTGAATCCTCTGGCCCAGGCTTGTGCAGAGAGGCCATTTCAATGTGGGATAAGAGTTGCATTAACCTACTCTCTGTTGCACGTTTGACTTTAAGTTTCTCCTCTAAAAGCTCTGAAACGGAGGCAAAATACTCCACTGCCTCTTCTAAAGCACAGTCCCCAATTCTTCCAACAGTCTGGTTCACATTTCTCATTCTCTGTGTGGTGTACTGAAGCAGCTGCTGCAACAAATCCGGTGGGGGTTCGATATTAGGAGAGCCAGACTTCAGAGAGGTAGAGGATGAGAGATTTTTCATTTGGCTTGGCCAAGCAAGATGTTCGCCATTTTCTTTTAAAAAATTTTCTCCCTCCTCCACCATGTCTTCTAGTCCCTGAATTATTTCCTCGTAACGTAGAGCCATGAAGGCAACCATAGGCTGAACAGAAACCTGAGTTTCAGCTGCTTGTTCTAAGAGTCCAAGCAAAACATCATATTTGTTTATGCTAGGATTCAAAAAGGCATACGCAGCTTGGTGAGCTTTTACCAAGGGTTCTGGAAAGTCCACTTTGTGCTCTTCAGATAGTTTGTCTTTGTCCTTCTTTTTAAGAACTTTTGCACCTTTGGCATTTTTCTTTGGTTTCCTGTTAAGCCTTTTGTCTGCCACATCCTGTTTGTCATTGTGTTTCTCTTTCCTCTGTGATACTGTGCTTTTTTCTGTTGCTTGATTCCCCAGCTTATCTATGTTAACTGCTTCCATCTTCACTTGCTCAGTATCAAGCCTCTTTTTCTGTGGTGTCATGTGTGACTCTTTCTGAAGTACCTGGGTTTGTCCACCTGTCTTCTTTTCCTTTGTATCTCCATTTGTAGCTCCAGATGAAACATGATTTTCCCCATCTTCAAACTGTGGATCTCTGGGGTTGTCTTGAGGTGCAGGGGGTAGCATTCTCCCCTTCCTCATAGCACCCAGAGTGCCAAAATTGTTACCTTTAGATGGTGAGCAACCCATTTCTGCTGTACACGGTGTTTTTTTTTCTCTCTTCTCCCTGGATAACACTAACACAGACAGTGCAGTAAATTGTGTAAAAAAATAGCAAAGATTCTTAGCCACCAGCTGTCATTTTCAGATGGCTGATGTCGTTGACTCGTTGAGTAAGATCCCTTTCCGCAAGTAGACTGCCAAAACAAAACGTGGATAAATCCATTTTACAAATTGCTTCCAACTGTCACTGACAGACAGAATAAATCCACAGTTTGGTGGCCATGTTTAATAAAATTTCCTTGGAGCATGTTTGAAAAAAACATCCCTCTGCACCTTATGAAGGACAAGCAGCTGAAAGGATTAGTGAGTCTTTCAGTGAACTCCTCAGCCTGCACATATGTCACGTTAAGTCATATAAAACTCACCTACTTCTAAGAACTTAAGCTCATTTGGGTAATGAAGGCTGGCTTCAGGTGGGTTTTTTATAGCCTGCAAAACAATACATCCTAATTTAGCCAATAGAAAAAAACAGAAAGAAAAACACAGCATTTTGTTTTCATCAGAATTAGAAAATGTGCTACACTGATTCTATTTTATCTACATTTGACAACATTAAATCAAATATATCTGCATATTACACATCTTTTCTTCACCCCCTTTTTTAAATAATCAAATGAAGTGAGAACAAACCACCAAAACTAACTACTACACCAAATAAATAAAGTAGGAGTAAATAAAGTTCATGATTTACTCCTTTGTGATTTTGCCTCCTATAAATTAACTTGCAAAAGTTTCCCTTATATAAGATCAGTTATCCCCAACGTAAAATAATCGTTTGTTACAGCACCTTGAATGTAACTCAAACACAATAAACAACCACAATACACAGAAAAATCGCATAAATAAGTAGATTGGTAGCCTTTGTTGTCTAGTTCAACAAAATAAAATGAAATATAACAAAACAAATATCTCATTAAGAGAAAAAGTCATTAGAAACTGATATGTGACTTTTACACTCTAAGTGCTTGGTGTGTTTTTAATATAGTGTTCTTCATATTTACATTGTTTGGCTTGTTAATTATAACTCCATACAGAGATCGCCATAAGCAAAGAAAACGTGGCGCCAGTGCGTGCTCGTCCTCGCGCGCAGGTGCACCGCTGGCACAGATCTCGAAGCGCGCTCCAGAAACTGCCAGAGCTGCCAACTACTTTCTCGTCTGGTCAGCGTCCTGAAGCGACTGCTTTATGCTCACTTTCATCCTATAAAACGTGTTGCTGGTTAGTATGAGAGTTAAGCTTCTCATAGGAACAATACTTATTTAATCTTTTAGCGTCTCTTTGTGCCGCTAAAAACAGTCGTCACTTAAAATTGGGTGATTTTTTTTCTTGTTTTTTTTTATAGTCAGTTTTCTAGCTAGCTGATAGCTCGTGTTGCTGAAGAGCTGCGGGCTTTCTCTTTCTTTTACTGCCTGTTGTTAATGACGTACAGATAACCTGCCTTACTTTAAACACTTTAAACTTATTCGGAAAAATTCATTATTAAATAATGTCCCCATTTTGCTACGCGGTAATCCAAATCATTTAGGGAAATTAAGCATACGTGTCATTCTAGTTTTGCTTTAGCCACGCTCATGAAAGTTCGTATTGATAGAGACACCATAGCGGACCCCTCCCCAAGGCCTTAGTTAAAGTAATTTTTGAGATAATTAATTTTTTACATTGCCTCTCGAAAAATGTCTGAAAAGAGAGAAACATTTAGCTCTTTAAATGTGTCTTGAGGGCAAATGATGGTAAGAAGCTCGAATTTGGCACAATTTAGTGGACCCCTTTGACACCGCCCCCCCTCCAAAAAAAAAATGACAGTCTATAGTGATGATGCTCACTGCTCATACTTTTTCTCTCATTTGCAGTGATAACATACCAGAGGACTCCTTTCTGCAGATGATTCAAGCTGAAGCATGATGAAAACTCCTCCCTCTGTTACCCTTAGGGTCAAACGCAAAAATGTTCGCCCAATCAGAAGAAACCTCAGCCTCAGCAGACACAGTGGTCAAAACACCCAGGGTGGGGTGTGGAGTATCCAGTCAAACCAGGGCGACCTGTATTTTACCAAAGTGCCTCAGTCAACTGTTGTCCAGCGGCAGGAAATGGCAGCATATTTCCGTCTTTTTGGTAGATAAATATTCTAACAAGAAAGCAGGGTGCGCTCAAGAAAATGTGAAATTTGGTTTAAATTCTCATATATTAACATCTCTTTGTCTACAGAGGATGACCTGATAAAAGACTTTCTAAGGGTGGATGGTTGCTATAAATTGACAGACAAGGTAAAGTTATTACTTTGATGAAAGCTACAAAACTTTGTTATGCTTTATTTTAAAGTGACACCATCTTTTCCCTCTATTTCATCAGTACCTCCTAGCCATGGCCTTTGTGTACTTCAAAAGGGCCTGCTTCACTATAACTGAATACACCAGAAAGAATTTTTTCATTGCACTGTAAGTTCAGAGAAAAGCCTGAAAATCCTGCTTCTGTATTATATTCTGTCATGAAAAGGAAACTTTGTTTGCTTCTGCAATATGTGATATTTCTTGGCAAACCTACAGCCCTGAACTCGGCTCTCGCTCTCCTCCTGTAGGTATCTTGCCAACACCATGGAGGAGGATGAGGAGGAGAGCAGGTATGAAATTTTTCCGTGGGCACTGGGCAAGAACTGGAAAAAACAGTTTCCCCGCTTCCTTGAGCAGCGAGACAAGCTGTGGGCTCGCATAGAGTACAGAGCTGCTGTCAGCAGGCGCTGCTGTGAAGAGGTACACACAAGTATAATTGCCTGAGGAGACTGATAAATGGTGCTTCACTGGGAATTTTTAAGGGTCTTGTTTTTGCTGCGCGGTGCCATTTTTATTGCTTGGGTTTAATGCCAGACATTCCATCTCTAGTGTCTGTGGGTGTGTTTTGCAGTGACATGATTTATTTATTTTGTTATTTTTTCTGTTTGAGCTGTATTTATTTCTTCGACCTCTGTCTTCCAGGTGATGGCCATTGTGTCCTCTCATTTCGTGTGGCAGCGGCAGCGTTCCGATCACCATGGCGGTGCCCAGCGGCAGTATAATGATGGCGACCGCGTCCGTTTTCCCCGTGGGCCCTATGCCTCACCTGTGTCCTGTTCCCTCTGTAAGCGTGACACCAGAATAGGCCACACCTCCTCCCTCCAGAGGCTCAGCTGTGCAAATCCCAAAGGAGGTACCAAGTACATATAACTAATGCTGGTGTCTCTGTTTACTGTGTGGTTTATAGTGTAAAGAGCCGGTCAGTATAGGATGCCCAGTTAAGTTTAAAACCAACGTTCAAGAAGCCCTGCAATCCAAACTGCAGAAATAATTTCCTCTTCAACAAAAACACATAATGTTAGTATTTTTTGCACTTGAACCTATTGTCCTACTAAGTGGATTAGTGGGAGCACTCGCTCACTCATCCAAATAACTGAATTCAGATGTTCCAATCACCTCTATTGCTACAGGTGTATAAAATCAATAGCCCCAGGCATGCAGACTGCTTCTATAAACATTTGTGAAAGAATGGGTCACTCTCAGGAGCTCGGTGAAGTAGTACTGTGATAGGATGCCACCTGTGCAACAAGTCCAGCTGTGAAGTTTCCTCGCTACTAAATATTATATAGTCAACTGTTAGTGGTTTTATAACAAAGTGGGAACGACAGCAACTCAGCCACGATATAAGGAACACAGGACACTTACTTACAGTGCTCGTATGTATACAGATAAAGCTCTGCAGTTAAGATTTAAACTCATACCTAACTACATGTTTCCATCTTTTTTCTTAGGGAATGATTCTTCCTGCAAGTCCACATTGGACACCTTCATGGACTGGATTAATGAGTAGAGCATCAGCGACTTCCTGTTTAAATCAACCAAGCAGTTAATGCTTCCTTTACTGGATTTAATAGCACTTTACTCTGAAGTAAAAAAGTCTGAATCCCCAGTTTGTCAGTCGCCTCTAAAGTTAACAAGGTACTCACAACATATTTTAAGTACAAGTGACAACGTTGAGCTTATGTCATTTAAAACAAGCAAGTTGGCCGTTTGTGGGCACAAAACCCCGAAGGATTGTTAGTGTGAAACCTAGATTTGCTTAAAATGTTGTTGGTATTTATTTATTTATTTAACTTATTTAACTTATTTGTGGACTCTGTCACGTACTATTTTTCACAGATGTAAATGAGTTAAGCATTGGATGCTGTCAGGTACACAGAAGGGTCTGGCTGGGTTTGTTTGTAGTTTGTATTGGTGTTGTGTTGCCAGTGTGCTGTTTAGTGATCCAAGACTTTTGAATTTTCATAGTCTTCATTGCAATCTGCTTCAGTACACTAAACTGTTCTGTTGCTCTTTACTCACACACAGATTCTGTATATTCACTTTGCACCAGAGCCATTTTCACTAAGAAGGCAAATTTTGCATTAAAGGACAAATCAGTTTTGACTTTTTATTATCTTCTTTAAGACCGTTTATTTGATGTGTAACAATCTGTGTTCAGGGTTCCCCCACAGGTAGAAATGTTACTGCACACACTTCCTCAGTTTCACCAGGAAAGCTGAAAAAAGGCAAAAATTACACATTTAATATTTTTAATTATATTATCATACAATAACTGATACTGGGACTAGATGCGTGGTAACATCTGACCTGTGTGGCTCATTTGTTCAGGGTGAGGTCGAGCAATGTAAGGGATACTCCCAAAAGGTGGGTCGGGGTCCTCCTCTGTGGTCAGGTCTTCTGAAATGACAATCAAACTTGAGTGGAAATACTCAAGGGGACTCTGTGAGACTCTGCCGTGTTACTTTTAATCACCTTTGTCACTCTCCTCCGATGCCTCGCCATCCTGACTTAGGTTTTCATCCAGGATTTGGGCTTTCTTGTTGCAGTATCGTCCATCCTTCTGAAGGGCTGGAGCCACCACCCATTCCCGGAGTGGAAGCTCTATGACGCGTTCACACAGTAAAGGGAGTTTTGAACATCGAACTCCTTCCAGCAGGTCGGTGACTTGAGTTATGCTGTGGTATACAGACACAGTTAACAGAGCAGAAAAGATCAATTATTTTTTTATTTCTGAAAGGTTCTTTTTT